CCTTTTATTTTTGAAGCTTTCATTAAATATTATATCTGAGAACGCTTGTGTTTCCTTTTATTTTTTTTTCATTCAGTATCCTGTCCTAGAGAATTCATTTTAGAATAAATCATTGTAATATTGAAGAAATCTCAAGGCATAATCAAAAAAGATTTTAGCTTGCTCTTGCCCCATAAGAGAATATTTTATTTTTATAATCTGATACCCCATTGTCAATTCTTTAAACAAAATAAGATTTAAATTTAACTTTCAAAATAGCCTCGGGAACTTTTTTTTTCTTCCTTACTCCTCTCTTTTTGTTCTCTTAACCCTCTTGCCTACAAATGTTCTCTACCCCAGACCCACATATTTAGTTACCACGCAAATTAACCACCTAATTAGAGTCTGTTTCATCAGTTCGGCCTTCTGGAAAAGGGACTTCAGCTCACTGTGCCTTATCAACTGTGTAGTAGAGTTCCTGGCAATTGACACCTCAGACAGATGCTCTAACATATCTTAAAAGTGTTTTTGATGGCCAGAGTTGTCAAAGGTGAAATGTTCTACATACATTTACATTAGGAATTTCCAGGAACATCTTTTGAGTACTTTGCTCATGGATTCTTAACAGTTCTTTCCCCTAGGAAAAGCTTAGAAATACAGCAACATTCTAAAAGTGATGATGAGACTGGCTAATGTTTCTCAAATGTAAAATGTGGCCTTCCAGATGATGTGGTCACCTTTTCCTTTTACAATGTCAGCATTTTGAAATGGGGAAAGGATATGGATTAGGTAGGAATTGAATACAAATGTGTTTTGCAAAGTGTCTTTTGAGATAATCGCACATGATGGTTGAATGCTGAAGGTATTAATACAATCAGTATTTAACCTTGTGTAACTCCGCTTCATCAAATCACACCCTGTGCATTGATTGCATTAAGCTGGGTCAATGGTTTCTTGCTTAGGAATATCTTATAAGAATCTTAACAGGAAGGCAGCAGTGGCCGATCAGCTACTGTTTATTTGCATACTGAGCGTGTCATCAATAATACAAAAGACAAGGTCTATAAGTTGAAAGAACAGTGGGATTGGCATGAATTTTGCTTAATGGTGCATAATAAGCGGAGTAGTCTGTGGTGCCAGAAACTGACAGGATCCATTATGTTAAAACAGATATATGTCTTTAATTTAGGAGTATTATGTAAATCTGACAGGAGTTTTTCCCTTTATTTTCCTGTAGTTTAACTTTAATTGCTCCAAGATTAATTCCAATTTCTCCTTTCCTCCAGAGGGTGATGAAACTGGCGTGATGGATAATCTTCTAGAAGCCCTACAGTCAGGTGCAGCATTTCGAGACCGCAGAAAGCGGATTCCGAGGAATCCAGGTAAGACCCCTTCCAGCTCACATGGTATTGTAAAGTGTGAATGTTCAGAACCAAAGACCAAAAAACAAAACAAATAAAAAAACCCTTTCCCACGAAGGTTTGTTTTTAACAGTTGATCTCAGTTCATGTGTGAAGTCTCAACAGGCTTTTACATCTACATGATTGCAAGTTTCAACCTGCTAAAAATATCTTCAAATAACTGTAGACTTTGCAAAAAAAAAAAAAAATATCAGAAACAAGGACTCCCGCCATGCTTGATATTAAATATTTTTAATTGTTATTTTATGAGCATGTGGTTTAAGTGGAAGGTGTGGTTTAAAAACCATAAATGTAATTAAATCATTAAAAGTAATTGGCCTTGAGGATGTCATATTAGCTATTTACAGGTAAGGAAACGATAAGATAATGTTTTGTTTTGTTTTGTTTTGTTTTCTAGAGGCCATTTTGGCTTGACAGTACAGTCCATTCTCCATGTTAATAAAGAGAGGAGAGGCACAGATAATCCAAGACCTCCAAAAGTTCCAAAGCATTGGAACACATGTTTGTGTGTGTTTTTGATTAGTCACAAAGTCACACTATGAAAATTGATCTCCAGGGAAGAAAAAACATGAAAGAAGCAGAACAACCTCCCTCACTCAAGTGTATCTAGGAAGTTGTCTGGCTTCTCTGTTTATACCCTATGGCTGAAGTAAATAAAAGCTCCTCTCAGGATAATCCAAATAGACTGAGCTATCCATCTCCTCTAAATAAGTTTTTTTTTTTTATATTTTTTAGTTCCTATCTTTCTTAAAGTAGAGGGAGAAATTAGGTGTGTTGATTTAAAAGGTCCTCTTCATAGACTGTAAAGCTGTATGGAGAAGTAAGCAGAAAAAGGATAATTAATAGTAAATATGTAAACTCTACTGAATTTAGATTAATAAGATTTGCCTAGAATAGCCTACAATTCAAAACATATTCTGTATTTGGACTTGAAGCTATCATACATCATTAGAATGGAAATTTAGACTCTCAAAATCATTGTACTTGAACAAACCAGTTAAAGAAATGGAGCCCAGTGCAGAGTTATCCAGGAAGCTCTTGGCAATGATGAAATACATTTAGGGGAATCCTGGTGGGTAGTTTAGCCTGGAGGTCAGATATGGTTGAGAGGAGAGAAGTGTTTTGGTTAGAGGACATGACTGCTTTGTATGTATGAAGACATTGAAGATGGCCTACAAAAAGCGTGGAAGACTGAAGGAAAGAAAATTAAAATTTATATTTATATATTCATATTAATTTCTTAGGGTGATGCTGCATGGCAGAATGTTAGGAGCACTGCTAATCTGTAACTGTGAGGCAGCCAATCCATCTGTCCTCAGTCTTTATCTGTGAAATGAGAATGTTATACCATGCTGTCGGAGGCTCCTTTCACCTCTTAATGAAAACAGAGACCTTCACTGCTCTGTCTTGAACTATTGGATCATAAATAGTCAGTGAAAAGCAAACTGAAAGAATTTTTATATCGATTTAGTTCTCTGTTAAGCAGCTAATACCTAAAAGCATGTTATTCTGTGCCTTAAAAGAACTGTCATCATCTTTCTAGTCTGTTTATTTTAAAAATACATTTGCTAAGGCCCCTGTCTGATTAGTCTCGCACATCAAACTGACTCCAGAAAGACTGTTGGGAGAGAATGATCATTCCATGGGGTTTCTGTGAGTTTGGTACTCAGGGGACTATAGTGTTGTCAACTGTGAAACACCAAGAATATATTCAGAAGCTGCATAGTTTTATAGTACTTATTCCAAGTAATCTAAAGTGGGATCTCCTTTGGTTTGTAGCTGGAGTGCCTCCATGAACATATAGGGTCAAAATATCAGCCTGTTTAATCCTGGCAGTCATTCCAGGTGGCAGCAGCCAATGCAATGTCCAGTGGTAAAAGGAAACTAGAAGATAGGCAGTGATGATTATGAATGAGTAAAGCTTTTTGGACATCAGTACAAGAGCTGGAAGTGAGGGACAGGGGAGCAGGCACAGAGTGGACAAGTCTGTCAAAAACTCTCCCATCTGTTTGCCTCTTTCTACAAGCAACAGAAATGGGCTTTTCCAGATTTCCTCTTGGTTTCTGCCTTTCCTAGCTAGATCATCTTTTCCTGCTGGCCTCCTTTTACATTGACTTTCTTAGGCACCTTATTTGGTTCCTTTTCAATATCCCATAGACTTTATCTTGTTACACTTTCCCCGTTCAATACTGGCTCCATTGCTGCTTTCCAATAATCTCCACTCCAGTATGATGAG